TGTTCTCTGCAGAGAACAAAAGAGTTAGATACTTAGTGGAATAGTATTTTCTATACCTATTCTAGAACTTGTTACTTAAAATGTGGTTTGTTGACCAACATCATCGGCATCACCTGGACGCTTGTTAGAAATGCAGCATCTCAGGTGCCCTCCCTGACCTGTGGATTCATCATCTCCATTTTAACATCCTCAAATGATTCTGTATGCACATTGAAACTTGAGAAGACCGCCCTAGAGTACAGCTTTCAGTACAAATGAAAGCTGTATTCAGTCCACAAAGGGACTTGCTCTTATAGAAGAAGGAAGAATTAATGATCAGTTCCATATGTAGCCTTGTTTGGTTAATCTAGAATCTTAGATAGCTGTAGGAACAACTTTAAGGGTCCTCTAATCTAATTCACTCACTTTACAGAAGAGGAAACTGAGACTCAGAATGGTTAAGTGACTTGCCCAGGGCTACAGCTAATAGTTGGCAGAGCTGGAACTAGAACACAGGCGTGCTCTCAGTCTAGTATTCTTTTCACTACTGGATCCTGCCTTTCATTTGATGTAGAGGTTAATGGATATGTGTCTGTCCAGACTGGGCTTCAAAGGACGAGGCGTGGAGTGAACACTGGCAAGAGCATTATTTCTTGATTGGTAGAGAAGTTAGGTTATTCTGTGCTTCAAAAGGTTCAGGACACAGAGGAGCAATGGTACTTACTTTTCTTCTTTTGAACTAGATGTTATAAAATACCTAAAAACTAATTTTGTTATATTTGCTATCTTTCGGCTACAAGAAATATATATAAAATGTATATAAAGTAAAATATGAAATAGAGTGAATTTTTTTTAGTGATTTCTGAAAAATCTTATCATTGGAAACCCTATGTGTAAAAAGCTTGATGTTTAATGAAAAAATAAACATCTAGGTTTAACTGCAGAACTCCCTCTAGATTTTAAAGCCACTTCTTTAAGTGATCCGTATATTTTCATCAGACTAGATTTTTGTCAGGGCATACTCAACAAAAGCCCCTGAAAATAGAAAGATTTTTCTAAGTATGTTTTTTCATCCAAGTACAGAATAAAATCATGTAAAAATATTAAGAAAAGTTATACTTTAGTCACCTGACTTATGCTGATAGAGCTCTGTTCGCACCTTTTAGCAGCAAGTTCGAATGTAGACGTAGAAGTCAGGTTAGCACTGCTACTGCATTTAACTAGTTAGTAAAACAAGTATCATTGTTACACTCAGAACCTGGTGATAGAAAGGGCCTTTGAAAAGCACAGTTCGGGAATGGAGAGCTTAGTATAGCTTATTTCTGTACTTCCTTTTCGATTGATAGATTCCTTCAGAGACCACAAAAGATCTATATGTCTATATTGTGAAATCCACCAGATTGTGAATAAAAATTCATATAAATGATAAAAGTTGTTTCTAAGTCTACCTTCAATTTTTAGAAGTGTGTGCTAATTAAAACATTATCTAAAGAAGGTTACAACTAGAGATGGATCAGAATTGAGAGTGCTTAAAGTTGTATTCATCGAGCTCCAAAAAACTTTTTTCTTATCAGCTTTTTAAAAAAGAAAAGGCTATGCTTTTGTTTGACAACATGAAATATAG